ATCTTCAAAATAAAAAAAATCGCCAGCTAAGAAATTCTCTGTAATTTATGTAGGGGTGCAGGTGGTTTTCACCTTTTTCGAACCATTTTTCGTGAAAGTCAATTATTAGAACGTCTTGCAAAACATGTGTTCCAAATTTCATTCAAATCGGGTTATCGGCTCTGGAGCTATCCTAAAAAATGTGCTTTAAAGAGGAAACTGATGCTCTCTAACGGAGAAACGACACACTTTTGCATAGGGTAAATCATGTCCAATCGACTTATTTTGAGTCTAAAAATACGTGGTAGTTCTATGTCTACGGAATATTGGGAAACCCTGCATACGAGAGATTAATATGTTATCCTGCGACATTCTGCATACAGAAGGTTATAAAAGTGTTGAAGGTATGCTGTATGAGGTGCTTTTTACTTCTTACGCCAAAATCGTATCCCCAAAAATTCGAAAATGGGGTATTATGTTTTTCGATGTTGTATGATATATACATCACGAAAAACCATGGCACCCATTTACGTCGATCTGTCGATCTCACACAAGGTTACTACTATGCCAAGGACGAAAAAGCTTTGTAGTTTGAGAATCGGTTCATTGGCGGCGGAGAAACAAACCCAAAAACGAGAAAAACAAAAATCGCCCAGACTCCATTTTTTTATGATCCATTCGATTATTTTGTGGACATTATTTTAACAATATATCGTAACCTTTTGCAACAGCATATTTATAAGCTCCAGTAATTCTTCACAAGCTCATTCTCCGGCGTATTTCTACTTAAACAGCTGAGAGATTGGCTTTCACCATGCACAGTGCAGCCCTCAGCACCACATCCCCAGAACCACGTCGCAAGTATGGACACACGACTGTAGGAGATATTTCTAAATTTTAAGGGTAAATGTTCGTGGACGTATGATGAGTGAAATATGCCTAACATGTGCGAAGAATTAATATGGTTGGAGAGGTACAAATACACGTCAAAAAATTGAGATATACCCCCCTCCTACACCTCCTAACCCACCACTTTAAACCCTTCCAAAAATTTTCCCAAAAATGGCCAGGAGCGTGTGAAACGGCAAAGTACGAAGTTTGGGCGATTTTTACTTTTTTATTTTGGGCCTTATTCTCCGCCGCCACTGGACTGATTTTCAAAAACTACAAAGCTTTTGCGTCCTTGACATAGTAGTAATATTGTATAAGAATTTCATCGAAATCCGAGCGCTACTTCTCATGTTATAGGCGGTTATAAGATTAGCGGATAGACAGAGAGACCGACGGAAATGAGTGACATGGTTTTTCGTGATGTACACGTCGTATAACATCCAAAAAACATAACATAGCTATTAACAGCGTAGCGTAGGAAAGGCAGAGCTAAGTTACTTGACGCAATTTTTTTACTGATGTTTATGCTACTCTTCGATCTATATGTCAGGTTCAAGAATTTTCATAGCCGGCAAATAATAAAGATACCAGAGCGTACAGAAGTTGACCTTAGATACTACGCACGATTTATATACAGGTTGTTACAAATCGACTCTCACCATTGGAATCTGGGAAACTGTAAGAAATACGAAGTAGCTTAAATAGGGGCAAAGTTGAGTATTTAGGCAATCAACAAAATGCTGCTTTCAAAATTCAAATTACTTTCTGTAGAGAGACGGAAAAACACGAATTTTCTCAAAACCGTTATATTTTTTCCTGACTTTATTTGTAACGGAATTCCAAAATATATTGCACATTAACAATGCCACTTTTTCTCTTGTACAAGATGGTATAATTATAATTTCAATATGACGTTTCATCCATTGTCCTCCGTCATCAACTTTATATACTAAGTGACATATAAATCCGAACACCCAGTTTAAATGGTTTTATTTTAATAAAATTTTGTACTTAATGAAGCATAATAAGTAAATGATAAAAATTTCAAAATAATTGCACTGCTTTAAAGCCCTTTGACCTTTAATAATGTGTGGATGCACCCCGATGTGCTACGCATTCTCCAACGCGCCTAGGCATGCTTCTGATCAGGTGGTCAATGTCCTCCTGTGGTATCTCATTCCAGGCAACCACCAACTTCTCTCGAAGTGCTTCTAGAGTCTGAGGAAGACGTTGCAAATTGAGCAATCTCCTACCCCACACGTGCTCAATTGGGGATAAGTCGGGAGATCTTGGTGGCCATGGTAACAATGTGACATCATTATGTTGAAAGAAGTCTATTGTGACTCTTGCAACATGTGGTCGGGCATTATCTTGTTGGAAAGTTGGATCTGCCAGGGTGTCAAGATAGGGTAAAAGATGGGGTTCTAGAGCTTCGTGGATATAACGCTGCGCGTTTATGTTACCTCTGATGAAGATTAAAGGTGACCTGGAACCATCAGCTATAGCACCCCAAACCATAACTCCAACAGTGTGATGAACATGTCTTTCAACAAAAAACTGTGGATTCCTCCTTTCACCACGTCGCCTTCCAACCCTGGCACGACCATCGTGCATGCCTAAACAAAATCGAGACTCGTCACTAAAGACAATACTATTCCATTCCTGATCCCAGAGTGACCGTTGTCTGCACCACTCAAGGCGATTACGTCGGTGTTCTCGAGTTAAAGGAAGGACCCATTGTGGCCGGTATGAAAACAAGCCAAAACTTCTCATTCGTCGGTAAACACTTCGCATGCCAATAGGTCTTCCGTGTTCTGCAAACCATTAATTTGCAATGGACCTGGTAGTGGAGAAACGGTCCCTTAACGCCAATAATCTTAGGCGGCGATCTTCACGGTCTGTTGTTCTACGGCGGCGTCCAGTGCCCCTTGCTCTTTGCGTACGGCCTTCTCGAAGCCATGCCTGACAACACCTAACCACAGTGTCTACACTTCTTTGCACTCTAACTGCAATTGCCCGAAAAGAAAGTCCAGCTTCCCGAAGTCCCACTATACGGCCCCTATCAAACTCACAAGTTGACGAAATCGTACAGGTCTCCGTACTCTAGGCATCGTAACCGATCGTAAAGGATGTCAAGAACCAAAATCCGCCAACGTTGATTCTTTACTGCGGCTGAAATATTCATTTTTTAGAGCGTTAGTGAATTAAAAAAAACAGTATAAAAACCGGAATTTCCAACTGATAAAGCTGAAAATTTTTTCACTTGTTATTTACAGTAAGATAAATACATTCACCAACTTTTATTAAAATAAAACCATTTAAACTGGGTGTTCGGATTTATATTAGTACTTAGTATATTTTCTTATAGAGGCCATTTTTTTTGAATACCTAAATACGCAACTTTGCCACTATTTAAGAGACTTCGTACCCCTTACAGTTTTCGAGATCCCAATGGTAAGGGTCGAATTTGAAACACCCTGAATGCATAATCCATTTGTCCAGAGCATTGTAAATCTGTTCTCACTATTTTTCTTGTGGAACGAAGAATTAAGCTATCATATGTAGGGTAAGCTCTGTGAAAGTGAATGCTATGTTACAACTATACCAGTTTAGATGCCCAGATTTTCGGTTTTTGCTACAAGCCATTATCTATCTCAATAGCCAATGTGCTTTCAGTTGTTTTTTCCTCTGCACCACTGGGCAGCGATTGAACGCTACTTTTTGTTTAATTTTGCACTGTTTTGTTACGCAAGTTTCAATTTCCGGTAGTGTTCGTTGCTATTTCTACCGACTGCCTCAGAAGGAGGGTTATGTCTTTCGCACGTGGGTATGTATATAAACAAATAATTCTATTTCACGGGGTACATGCCAAACGGCTTGATCGATTTTAACATATGAGGTGTATCTGGATTTGTCTTGACAGTGCGAATGACACTGGGTACACTAAAAATTTATAAAAACAAAATCGTGGATTTCAAACTTTGAAATTTCTTTTTCACGGGCTCCAGACCAAACGGCTGAGTGAATTTAGACATTTGAGGTGTCCTTAGGTTCGACTTGATAGCACAATTAAGTCTTCATCATTTCCAGTTAGTGTGGCCGGCTTGTATTTTTTTAAAAGTGTATTTGTTAACGAAAACAAAAATTTTTTTTTCGAAGAGACATGAATTTTACGAAATTTTTTGAGGTTTTGGACTTTCTGGTTACTTGAAGATGTAGTAAACCTAAAATTTGAATGACTTATTGCTTGGAATGTGTGTGCAAATTTGCTAAACACATTTTTTTCATTACGTCGCTTAGAATTCGTTTCATGAAAACGTTATCTGGTTTACATGTCAAATGATCAACTAATTCGTTATTTTTAGTGCTGCTAATATTTTCATTGATATATGTCATTAGTGACGTCCTTAAAAAACCATAAACACAATAATTAGTAATAGCAATATAATTAGTTATAGCTATACCAACTTTTTCTACCATCGTGAATTAAAGGTAAGCTTTTACCTGGCATAAAACTAAATAGAATTAATTTTCTTTTCTTGAATAATAATCAAAAAAATTCTTTATTTCAAAAATAAATTTAAAAAGTAAGATATACATTACATATTATTAAGGGCGTACAAACTATATGAATTAAGGGTAAGCTTTTACATGGAATAAAACTAAATCGAATTAATTTTCTTTTCTTGAATAATAATTAAAAAAATATTTAATTTCAAAAATAAATTTAAAAAGTAAGATATACATTACATATTATTAAGGGCGTACAATCTATATGACAGGTTGTAGCTATTGCACTGCTTGTCATTTGTTTACATGAATGATGTAATCTTTATATCCTCGTTATGCGATTGCCGAGCCTACTTAATAAAGAATTGAATGTTACTGGAAAACTAGCGATTCAAGGCATCATTCTATATCAACTCTTATCGATGAAATTCATGTTCGTTCAACTTGTACTGCATTTTGTAGACCACAAAAACCTTCACCATCTTTGGTAATTATTTAGAACTCTAGAACTGAATGGAAAGCCACGCACCTTATATATTTATTATATATTCTTAACTTCATTATAGGGGTTCCGGTACCTCAATACTTATATTCTGCTTCAAGCTTACAACTGTTCGTAGTTTCAGATGGCGAGCAAAATATATCAAGCCCTTAAACGTAGAAAAAGGAACGACCAATCAGAGGGCTCCACACAACTTTCGCGATGCCTGAACCTGTTTGACCTGACAGCGCTAGGAGTAGGAGCAACTTTAGGATTAGGAGTTTACGTACTGGCAGGGTCCGTGGCCAAAACAACTTCGGGGCCGGCAGTGTGTCTGTCTTTCTTGGCAGCTGCGGTGGCTTCTGCAGTGGCGGGTGAGTGAAATTAGGGATTCACTACAAGTCAAGTATTATATTAGCAATGTAAATCAAGTCAAGCAGTTTTTACGTCAAGTACGTACTTGAAGATAAAACTAAGCTCAAATAAAAAAAAATTGTTCATCAGCAACAAAAAATGAAACATTCTGAATTAGCTTTTCATTCGCTAACTATGAGTTGAGACACATGAGGGTCCTAACGGACTTGTCGCTTAATCTGTTGCGGGGTTTCGTAAAAATCTGTTACGGTTAAAACGAGACTTGGGAATACATTTCCACTACTCGTGATTATTTACATTAAAAGACAAAATACGGTTCATCGGTTGTAAAAATAAATATAACATAAATCCTGAAGGCCTTTACTAGAACAAAAATATAATTTGGCATCAAGTATCAAATAGGTTGAAAATGCATGACCTCAAGTCAAGTAGAACAATAGAAAACTCAACCTTTCAAGTAATTTATTTTCAAGTCAAGTAGTTCCTATAAATTTTAAGCTACTGGACTTGATGAGTCCCTAACTGGAATACATTTGGTTGGTGCTAGCAGAGTGGAAGGCCGATCGGCTTACTACGAAATTGCGTACATGGTCGAGTAATCAAATTCCAACATGGACTGGCACAGTTTAAACACAAAATTCGAATGAGAATTACCCTACAGAAGAGAATATATAAAAATGTAAAATATGTAAATCATGTGTATTCTGTATTAATGGATGCTAAACGTAAAAGCCGTGCCAATGCCATGTTTTTAATTTACCTTACAGTGATTTAAGTACAGGAACCAAGAGTTAAGAATTATTCAAAGCGGAAAGTACTTCAAAACACGAGACACTTTACGTCTATTCGTGACAACATATTTGTGTAGGTGCAAAATCTGACGATAGCCACCTACACCAAGAAAAATTGTTGAATCCAATTAAAATGTTAATTTGGCCAATTAGAAAATCATAATCATTAATTGAGCACAACAAAGTTCCTTTAAGCTCCGCGGTGCACTGGCATTTAGGCTTCCGCCTGCGCGGCGTCTTCGATGTATCTGTAGCAGAAACAATTCGTTTAAAATAATGAACTATTAAAACGAGTTTACCTGCTCCAAGTAAAACAACTTAATTATATTTATTAAATGTCTCTGGACAACGTGGTACATTGATAATGTAGTCGGGGCAGCAGCACCCCAGACATGTGAGCAGTGCTCACGTTGGTAATAATGAAAATCTAGAAGAGTTAACATCGCTCACGCGATTCTATATACTTTAGGAGCTCGTATAATTCCCAAAATTTCTTATAGGTCTGTGCTATGCAGAGTTTGCCGCAAGAGTGCCAAGAGCCGGATCTGCGTATGTGTACAGCTACGTGGGAGTGGGGGAATTTGTGGCGTTTGTGATTGGGTGGAACCTTTTGCTTGAATACGTAATAGGTAAGTCACACTTCGCACATCAAAACAATAATTTTTCATATCTGTAACGTAAAAGCGAATTCTGTAAATATTTAAAGTGCCACAGTGCGAACAGTTTGGAATTCAGTTGATAACAAATTCTACAAACATCACTGCTATGGCGCACAAAATAGTAAATCTATGAAGACTAGATGTTGGAGGTTAAACCGCATAACGGGAGATAGGTATTAATATGAAGCCAGTGGCGGTAAGGAGGGTGTGGCTCTCAGAAATGCTGTGCGCGTAGAGCTTCTGCGCATGTATACACAAGCACGTGAAAGAAAGAGAGAGAGATGCAGACAAGAGAGAGGTACCACATGCGCAGAACAAAACACATTTCTGACGCAAGGGCTGTAGTAGATAGCCCGCCTTTATTCTCGACGCTTTGGCGTTCACACGCAGTTTACACTCTATATCTTCATGAGTATAGTAATGCAGTAAATCTTCAAAATCAAAGATTGCTCTGCTCCAGCAAACTCGACCCCAATAATCCCAGTATAGTCTGCCTATGGTGCTGCTACAAATGTGGTAAAGTATAGTTCTTTTCACGGCTTTTGGCGGTTACGTCATCAATACCATACAAAATAAGTGAGCAGATTGACTAACTGAACTAACTATATGCGAAGCTGTAGCTTCATAGGCGGATCACATATTGGGAAAACCGATCTTAAACGCAGCTGCTTTTGCACACATAAGTTCATTAATAAAGGACCATTGCTTTTTCTCACTTTCTCAAAATACTCCAATAATTTTGACAAAAACTATCGATACAGATGCTTAGTTGCATACTGCATACGTTTTATATTACGAAGATCAATAAAAGGTAAGCTCAAAATGGTACCTATGTCCATGCCAAATGCATAGATTAGGAATACTCATACGTTTTCTAGAATATTTCCCTCATGTATAAAAAATACCATAAGAGGTATGGAATTATCGCAAAATTACAGTGAAAATTTCCCGTTGCCCAGACAAGCGCGCAATTACAAATGGTTTCTAGATAGAAAAATTGTATAACAGCACCTGTCAGCAGTTTTTTCGAGCTTACCTGCGGCAAAACTTAACAGCTGTTGTCACCAAATATTACAGTACCTTTGATAACAAGTAAATATAGTGTCCCAGGACACTAGAAAACGACGGTAAGCAATTTTTCTGATTGTATTGTCAATACATTTTGTAATATTGTTTTTAAACAATGCTGGTCAGCTTATGTAGTGAAAATGAGTCGCTTTGGAAGTGATTCTTTGACTAGTATTGATCCGGCGATTGAGAAAAATGTAGCGTACAATACCATTAAAACAGGTAAAGAAATACGAAGTTTTGGAAACTATAATCCTGAAAGATTGGGCGAGGAATATGAAGAAAGAAAACGGTGAAAATTACAAAGAACTAGTTGTGAAGACAATAAGTGGAATACCGTTGCAAAAAGTACAAGAGATGTATTTTATAAATTCTATTAATAATCTGTTACTCATCAAATAGTCTTGTCAAAAGCCACTCGGGGATCAAATGTTTTCCTGTGAAAAAAACACTGGACAACAAATTTTAGTTTTTTAATTGTATCTTGTGGGAAAAGTGCACTTCTTTGTTAATTTTGGGGCGCTGAGTCCAAAAATAACAATGAAATAAAAAAATAGTTGCGGTTTAGAAAAAAACTTTTTATTTTTAAGGATATATTAAAAAAAGTAACAAGATTCGTATACTTATAAGAATCACTATATGCGCTGTCTTTTTGCTGTTCTTTTATGGATCGTTTCTGAAGCATCTCTACCAAGAGTCCAACAGTAGTCTGCAAGCATGGAAGGATTCCACTTTCCCTGGTACCTTTTTTCCATTGTTGAAATATCCTGATGAAAACGTTCGCCGTGCTCATCACTTACGGCTCCGCAATTGTCAGGAAAAAAGTCCAGGTGTGAGTGTAGGAAATGTATCTTAAGAGACATATTACAGCCCATCTTTTGATACGATGACAGCATACTTTTGACAAGGGTTTTATAGTTGTCAGCTTTTCTATTTCCCAAGAAATTAGTGACCACCAGACGGAAATCATTCCAAGCAGTTTTTTCAATACCTGTTAAAGTGTTTTCAAACTGTGTATCTTTCAAAATATTTCGAATCTGTGGCCCAACAAAAATACCTTCTTTAACCTTTGCCTCACTTAGTCTTGGAAATTTCTGACGCAGGTATTGAAAAGCTGACCCATCTCTATCTAATGCCTTGACAAAGTTTTTCATTAGGCCCAACTTGATATGCAGTGGTGGTAATAAATTTTTTTTCGAATCTACTAATGGCATATGCTGTAAATTTTTTTGACCTGGCTCTAGGAATTGACGAACAGGCCAGTTTTGTCTTGTGTAATGAAGTGCCTTTGCCCGACTGTCCCATTCACACAAAAAACAGCAAAACTTTGTGTAGCCTAGCTGCAGCCCAAGTAAAAGTGCAACAACTTTCAAATCGCCACAAATATGCTATTGGTGCTCATCGTATTTTATGCATGTCAATAGGTACTTCATATTGTCATATGATTCTTTCATGTGAACTGCATACCCTACAGGAAGAGATGGTAAAATATTTCCAATATGCAATAACACTGCCTTTAAACTCAATGTTGAACTGTCTATAAACAATCTCCATTCTTCTGGGTTATAGTTTATATTTAAAGCCGCCAGTAAGCCGTTAATGTTACTGCAGAAAACCAAGTTATTCTCCATATTGAAAAATAGTTCTAAGTCTTTGTGGCGTTTACGAAAAACACATACCGAAACATCGTCTTCTAACAAGTTCCACTGCTGCAGTCTTGATCCAAGTAACTCTGCCTTACATTTTGGAAGTTCTAAATCTCTTACAAGATCATTTAATTCTGACTGTGTTATTTTGTGCGGTTGGTGGCATGACGTACTCGGTATAAAATCAGGATCTCTTGACGTTGATGGCATATCTTCTTCCTGACGAATCACTCGATCGCCATGATCTGATTCGTTTTCTGATTCTCAACTGTAGGATTCTGGGGTATTGGAATAGGATTTTCGTCACTGTGAGGCACAGGTCTCATCGCAGATGGTATGTTTGGGTAGTTAATAACCTATTTTTTTTCTTGGAGATACCTGTGGCTTGTCCAACACAAGGTACCATGCAAAAGTAACAATCATTAATATGATTTGTAGGCTCTCTCCAAACCATTGGGACAGCAAAGCGCATAGACCGTTTTTTGCCATTTAACCAGCTCCTCAGACTTGAAGCACATGTATTACAGCAGATGTGAGGTGCCCACTGTTTGTCTTGATCACCTAGTTTACAACCGAAATAAAGCTGATATGCCTTTGTTATCAGTGGAGTAATAGACCGTCTCTGAGACGCAAAAGTCACATCACCACACACGTAACAAAACTGATCTGGATTGTTTACACACTTTCGAGATATCTTGCATGAACGCTGTCAGCCAACTGAGGAAAAAATGGCTAATATAAAACAATATAATGTACACGTATGTATAACGTAACACAATCATGCCGATTACATCATCTTTCCTTGCCGAATATAAAAATGTAGCACGTGCATTCTTGTGAATTACAGTATATTAACACTGTCACAGCAGGAACACATATAATTACCGTATCTCTAAAACTTGAACTAATATTGAAAAAATAAGTTTCATTCCGGTTTTAGCACATTAAAAATACTAATATTTTGTTGATTTTATTTAGGATATTTTTTGGCTGTTGATCAGTGAAATCGATAAAACTCAATGCAAAGTAATATTTTTTTACCAAAAAACATTCGTGCAGGTGCAAAAATCTTCGTTTTCGACTCATGCTTGTTAAAATATTACTTAGCAACGTGCTTTTTCGATTTTTTTCGGAAAAATCAGACACCGTAAGATATGAAAATTGCCCAGTAGGTATCGGAAAAATTCCCTATAGGTCCGTATCTATTATTACGATTGATGAAATATGCATTTGTCGTCTTGCAATGCACAAATATCGAATTTAAAAATTCGTGATTTCCGTTTTTGATGTGTCAATTTTTAAGCAGAAATTTTTGGAATAATGTTCAATCATCTCCAAGTTGGCGCCGAGATCTCGTATCAAGGAGTTTACATTATTCGGTTGGCATGCTTTGTAAATTTGTACATGATCTGCGCGTACATGTATAATATTCCAACCAGATGAAATATGGTCAATCAAATTTGAAGTGTAGGAAGTAAATAAAGTAGGACCTAAAACACGTGCTTGTGGAACACCAGAATGATATCAAATTCTGACAGCTGTTGACATTTGTCAAAGAAGTTTGTGAATATATTCGGTTTCGGAAAAATAATGCGTTCATTGCTTCTTCATGTCATTAAAGGTGCCTTCACAAAGTGAACTTTCTAGATGAGACTGATGAACGGCGGCGAGACTTTTTCGCTCGGGAATGATTTGGGGAGCGGCTATTCTGTTAGCGTTCAGGAATGCAGCTTCCAAAAGAAAGGAGAACCACATGCTCCCAGTTCTTCTATTCCCTCATTTCCAAAGTTAACTTTCTTAGTATACAAAGTCCTATTTTTGTTTTCTTCCCACGCCAATTACCTTCTGATCTCGGTAATGCTAATAGTCATATTAGAGGAAAATACCCCTGGTTTGTGAAGTAATTGCAAAGTTTGGTTTTATTGCTGCAAGTTGTTCAAGGAGGTATTCAAAACATGGACGCATAAAATGGTTTAATTCAAGAACAAGTGATCAAGAGTAAACCTAAACTTGCAATACTGAATACTAGAAAGGAATTATAGTCTAGTCGAAAACACTACAATACCGACGCTAGTAAATATTCTCACTAACTGGGTCTACAACCTAAAAAAGAAAAATGGTGAGGGTAATGAAGATTATAATGTAAAGACTGTGTGGAATGTAACTTCAAAACTGTTAATGGAAAAATATCAGGACGAATATAATATTAAATTTATTAGTTTCATTGACACTGATTTTAAAACAACCCGCAATGCACAAAAATGTCAAAAGAAGGAAGTTACAAGCCGACACTACGAAAAAAAAAACAAAGCGCTGTATCACTCAAATACGATGAGTTCAAAGTTATGATATCGCCTGATGGCTTACAAAAAAGCTATTTGTTGTTTTGACCTAGGTCGAATTAACATGGCGAGGAGGAGAAGAGTAAAATCTTTAACTTCCTATTTCAAAGAAGAAATTAATAACGCGGGGAAAAAATAACAGACTGAAATACAACCCAATATTCAACAAAACAACGCAAGGAGGTGACAAACTAACCAAGTGGCTGGTTAAAAACATAGTTAACCTGGATTTGTGTCCAGTAAAGTTGTTCAGAATGTTCTCGGAGAAAACAAATTGGAGAAATTACAAAAATATTCCGAGACTTTTCTCGACTGTTAACCCTTTTTGGAAATTGGGCAAGTGGTACAAGAACATGCCTGTCGGAAAAAAGATAATCACTCAGTGGACGTTAACGGAGGCAAAAAAGTCAGGTTTGGCGACTGAAAACGTAATCATAACTGATCATTCACTGCGCCCAACAGCTATTCCTAACTTAGAAATGGTTTGAAAAGAATACGTTGATGAAATTACTGGGCATTCAAATCCTAAATCCATAAAGGCATATCTCCAGCTGGACGAGAAACACCATTCAAACATAGTAGAAAAAATCAGAGATAATAATACTGCTAACCCTAATATAGAAACCGATGAAGCTGAACCCTGCAATAAGCTTTTTAAGTTATAATTCAATAGCAAATTCGAATATATCAACAAGTAGTGCAGCAGACCCCAAAATACTTAACTTTACAACTGTGTTTTCAACTGCAATTCATGCAATTTTTAGTTTCGATAAGTTTTGTCTCATTTTATTTTGTCGATTTTTCTGTAATTTTTATATACCTACCTACTTCATGTAAATTTAAATAAAATTTCGAACTTAACACATACTTTTACTTTTTCAACTAGTGAAATATTCTACCGAATTACACTCATGCGTCAAAATAAACCTGATAATTTTCCATTCAATCATGTTTTCAGTAAAAAACCGCATTCGGTTATTTGTTCATTTATTTTTTTGTTTGTTAAAAGAGCCCCTCCTCTTTCGGAGTCAGGCTCTTTCGCCAAAATATGAAAATAAACTCAGTTTTTAGGCATTCATGAAAAATTATCGGTAATTTTGATGCACTGGTACCTATGTATGATCTTACACAAACAAGCGTTCGCACACAAAGCTAGATTGCACATTTGTGTGCGAGTGGGATGGATATAGTTTTGAACCAAAAACCGCAATTTATTCCTATTATTTGCCTTCGCCGTCGCTCCATCGTAAAAACAAGCTTCATTTTCTGTGTAAGGATCTACATTTACTTTCAGCCAAACGCGTGAATAAACCCAGTCATATTCAGCATGTTATGTAACCAAGAGATTATAGTTATTATAAACGCACAAGATCCGGTAGATGGTTGACAATGTGACCCATTTGGTCAATGACATTTAAAGAAGCATCTGGCGATGTTGAAAATTGCGTAGCACAGTGAGAACCAGATTCATTTGGATTGATTAGTACATATATACACTTGATCGGAGTTGCGAAAATGCAATCACTTTTCACATTCAGAATCTATTTAATCGTAATAACCTAAGCCGAGAATTTATTGCGCATTAAAAAATGCATACCTAGTTTGTTGAGTGTAATGGTACCCATTTTGGAAATAATGGAACATTATGTAATATGATAGGTTTTCAAGAGGGGATCTAACATACAGGGTGTCCCAAGTTAAGCTACAGCGATCAATTACCTTAAATGTTGATGTAAGAAAATTTGGATGTTTAGTACAACTGAAGGGAACATTCGATTTTAACAGTAATGGAGAAAAGCGGGTATGTAGGTACTTGTCAGAATGATTTTGGAGTAAGTCGTTTTACGTACCACGCATACTGGCGAGGGAGTATTGTAAATGCGGAAAATTTCGAAAATGAGATATGCTTTTTGGGCGTTATATGAGATACTCATTTCAGTCTGTCGGTTTGTAGATCTGTCGGTCTATGGGTCCCTGTCTGTCCGTTAGTCATTGGCCTGTCTATATAACTTGAAAAGTACTGGTGAGATTCGGATGAAATTTTTACACAATGTTACTGCTACGTCAAAGACGAAAAGCTTTCTAGTTTTTGAAAATCGATTTTGAGGCGGCGGAGGAAGATGTCAGTATAGTAATAAGCTTCATAGATTTTCCCATACATTTGCTCTTCCAACTTGAACAGTAACAAATATTTTCACAGACGGATCGCGTACCCATCGATTGCACTTGTCAGACGCCACGGTGTGCACCGTTGGTAGTCGATCCTTAAGACTCATAAAAGCAGGTAGCAGACGGCGCGGTGACGCGGTATGCACATATGAAGTGGGCGCGATATTATCTAAATATACGAACATTATGCTTAGAGTGTAATTTAATGAGGTTACTTGATTTCGCGAGGTAATATTATTCAGGATAGTATATATAGTATCTAAGTTGACACCAGAGCTGCTAAGGAATAAGGCTACTTTTTACGGACACGCTCATTCCTGCAATATGATGAAATGTTTTTCATAAACATCCTGACTAGTGACTACGCGTTTTTGATGCCATTGCACTACTTGGAAAATTTTACTATAAGTTCCTCCAAAGGCAATCAATCAACTTGACACCATTTTTTTTTTTTCGTTCCAGGTACGGCAAGTGTAGCACGAGGCCTAAGTAACTACATCGATGCCTTGGCAGATAAAAAAATTAGAGATACTCTCACAGAATGGATGCCCATGGACGTTGAGTTTCTATCGTCCTATCCAGATTTCTTTTCGTTTATATTTGTAATGTTGTTTACCGGTAAGTATTTTTCTATGCCTTAGAAACATTAAAATACATGTAGGTGAATACAACTACTTCTTGTTATGTGACCATAAACTGTAAAAATGTTATCCATTTCGATATAAATTGTCCCAGAATGTGTTTGTCCTCAATATCTGGGTGAATATACGGTATTTGGGATTTTTCAATGTTTCACCAAGAAAACCTCAAGCAATCCGACAAATTATAGAATTAAATCATCCATATATTGTAAAATATCATGTTTTACTGAAACATATAGTGAAATTGAGAAAATCATTAAGATTCAGGAAAAATAATACGTGAAAATTAACAAAATGTAGACTCTCCGGCGTGCTCCATTCCCGACTTCACTACAAATATCAACAAATATCTGTATGTAACTTTTATAACAATATACGGATACTCTTTGCATGGATATATGCAAAGTATAACATATTTCCATGATGAGTGACACATTTTTTTATAAACGCATGAAAAACACGTTTCTGGTGGTTCCTGAAAATTGTCTCACCCTCATTTGGTGGAATTCAATTGCATATTTTGGTGTATGTATGACAAATTCGCGATTTGACCTTGACTAATGCATATCAAATCAAGATATTGTCGTTTAAAACTACCATGATTTGACCTACCCCTTTACCAGTATCAACTATCGATCTTTGTGAATTTCATAACTACATTACTGCAACTACGTAAGAACAACGATACTTGAATACAAAAGTCATGAATCACATACAATAATAAAATAATAAATCTTAATTTTATCGAGGTCATGTACGTTTTTGTCACCACCCTGGCATCACTTTGGCAGTCAATTGTTTTTTCTACTCTTGTTGTGTATCCTACCTTCTAGTTTTTGTACCTACCTTCTAGTGACGCTGTCAAATATGTATCACACATCATATAGTCTTAGGACATAATGAATATGAAAACAAAATATGTAAGCTATTTTTCTTATTTGACACTGAAGCTTCAATAGGATTCACTTAGAACTCAAAAGTCAACATATGTAAACATTTCGTATAGACGGACCCAGAGTCATATGCCAATCTGCCACATACGCATGAAACACACAAAAAATAAGCCACATCTTCCTATAAAAAGATGTCCTACATGGTTTCCCTAAAAAGGTACGGGCCCCTGATGGACTCCGCTGGAGTCCGTAAATGAATGAATGTATAATTTAACGAATTTCTATTACACGGTAACCACATATTCTTCTACAGACTGTATAATTTAGCTGTTGTATTTTCAGCTCTCTTGGCTTTTGGCGTAAAGGAATCTTCAAACTTGAATAACCTGTTCACCGTACTAAACTTGGCTACTATTTGTATCGTACTTGTTGCAGGAGCAATAAAAGGTAAACTACATACATATTACATTATCAGGAATTAATGTCAGTTTAATATGAAATAACTTTCTAGTGATACAATTGAGTTACTAGGCAAATATTATCCCACTGTACTAGAACGTCGTGCACTTCAACTACATCTTTTTGAAATGCCCCTCATACATCAGCAACAAATCAAAATATCATTTTAAGAATTAAAAAAATATTCTGGATCGGATTTTTGCATACTCTTATTACAAAAGGGTCCCTTCTAATGAATCTGCGTGGTTCTAGGCCCAAAACTGCACCAAAATTGCTTGAACAAATTTTTTGAAACATATTTCAAGATAATTTTTACTCCTGTCAAAGCGTTTTTATCCATCTGTCCGCGACTTGTTTACCCCTCTACAGCTCGGAAAGCACCGCTCAGATTTTGATGGAAATGAGTGACGTGGTTCTTCATAATGTACATGTCATATTTTTACACCCAAAATACCTATTTCATTTTCGAAATGTTTCGCAATTACATTAATTCCTCGCCAGTAGGGGGAAGTGAAACCGAAATTTAATTAACCATGTGACAGCCAACAAGTTTAATTGGTCTAATTGAACTCCGATTTCCAAAACAGTTCATTAGAATCTAGGAAACTATTTTCTTTAAATCAAAATGCACTCGTTTAATTAAATTTATAAAACCGTTTACTTAGATTAAGAATACCAATTTATTTAAAATTAATGAACAATTAAAATGAGCTAATCTGCCCAAGTAAAATAATTTAAATAAATTGATTTAATTTGTTTAACTAGTTTAGGTAAAGGTCTAAACAGTTTTTACGTTTTTCTCAGCTGACATTAGCAACTGGAAGATCCTCCCGGAATCTATCCCAGAGGAATACCAATCAGCCGCTGGAAAAGGAGGCTTCCTCCCTTTCGGTGTGTCAGGAGTCATGGCGGGAGCCGCCAAATGCTTCTATGGCTTCGTCGGGTTCGATTCCGTGGCTACAACGGGCGAAGAAGCCAAGAATCCACAAAGAGATATACCACTGGCAATTGTATTCTCGCTTTTTATTACTTTTTTGGCTTACTTTGGTATATCTACGATTCTTACGATGATTTGGCCATACTACCTACAAGTAAGTGGATACAGTGTATTCCTGGGTTAAATAAACGCAGTGAAATGGCAGGTAATATGGACCGCGGCCTTTTCATATATGAAAATAACTAAGGTCTCAGTTCATTTTTACCGGATATACTGTGTGATTTGTCTAAACATGTCCAATATTTAATATTACACATCTCAGTCACTTTTGAACCGATTTTGATTAAAGTTTTTAAAATAGCAAAGCTACCTATGAACAACCTAAAAATAGTCTGGGGGCTTAAATATCCAGGGATGGGCTGTTTTCTTTTAATTTCTTGCATCTTAGCAAAATAAACGCATATTAAGCTGGATATTGAAATGATTGACTATGTACGACAAAGACCAATTAATTATCAAAACAGATTCATTGCACCTCTTTTGGTTTTTTATTCGAAAATTTTAGTCCATTTAAATGTAACTTTTTGTGACTTAGAACTCAAAATTTCAAATATTATTTACTTGCTTCCATCAGCATTTCTCATAATTAATCAATAATGCTTGGAACTGAGCTAAAAATGTTTTGGAAACTCAAAATTCCTGGGTTCGATTTTTATTCATATGTAACTTATTAAGTTCAAGTCCCTGACAGGTATAGCATACAACTTTAAGTGCTTTAAATCGACGACAATCACCACAATGTTACTAATTTTTATAATCTAATCTAAAACGTTTTTAAATTGTTTAACAAATAAATGGCATTAAGTTTTTCTAAGTTAAGCCAAAATTTGTAGTCAGTAAGTAAGCCAGTTTCATTAAAATAAATATTTAAAACACACATGACAACAGCGCGTTGGTCATTCATCACTCTTATCGAACCGGCAATCGATCGCAAACGGTAACAGTGGTTAGTTATTGTTCGCGTACGTCGTCGTGTTTATTTACAATGTTCTCGAATCAAGAGTTCGCCGATATGTTGTTAGTTTACGGTTAAGCTCGTCAGAATTCAAATCTTGCAGCTCAAATTTATCGCGACAGATTTCGCCAACGGGTACACCCAAACAGAAGGACATTTGTGCAAGTGTACCAAAGACATCGAGATACAGGAGGTTTTCAGCCCACTAATATTCCCACTCATGAAAGATAGGTTACTGTAGAGCAGGAGGAATAGGTTTTGAATATCGTGGAAAGCAATGCAGATATCAGCACTCGGGAATTATGCCGCCACGTAGGTCTATCGCATACCATAGTCCATAGCTTACGGAAAAATTTGCTTTATCCCTACCATGTACAACGAGTGTAGGCCTTGTTACCAGAATACTATCCTCGCAGACTAACATTCTGTCAGTGGTTTTTGCACAAAAACATTGAAAATCCGGAATTTTTTAAAAACATTCTATGTACGTTTACGCGAGACGGAATATTAAATTTCCATAATACTCACACGTGAGCCCAAGAAAATCCTCATACCATTCGTGAAGGTCATTTCCAACAACGTTTTAAAATAAATATTTGGGCGGGTATTCTTGACGATCAGGTAATTGACAATTTCAAGTTACCTCCAAAGTTGTCAGGAGAAGGATACTTTAGCTTTCTAGTCAATAACCTACCAGAACTTTTGGAACAGACCTTAGACAACATGCTATGACAACGGAAACAAAATTCGTGGTTTCTTCATGACGGGGCACCACCACACATTTTTAGAGGCGTCATTCAGTATTTGAATGAACATTATCCAAATCGCTGGATCGGTCAAAATGCCCCTGATCCTTTAAAATGGCCAGCAAGATCTCCTGACCTCAATCCGATGGATTTCTGGTATTGGAGAGAACTTGGAGGGATGGTTTATGGGGCTGGTCCAATAACAACTGAAGCACAACTTCGCGAAAAAAATTTTAATGCTGAAATAATAAATGGACAACTTGGAGGACCTAGAGTAACAAGAAACTGGGTTCATCGTAATGAAGCTTGTGTGGAAAGGGGGGGGACAACATTTTGAACACCTTTTTAAATACAAAAAAGTGCAGTGTGGGTTTTAGAAAGAAAAACAATGTATACAGGGTGACTATTCTTGACGATCAGGTAATTGACCCTTTCGAGTGAACCCCAAGATTGTCAGGAGACGGATTCCTTAGCTTTCTAGCCAATAACCTATCAGAACTTTTCTAACAGACCTTAGACAACATGCCATTACAACGGAGACAAAATTTGTGGTTTCTTCATGACGGGGCACCACCACACATTTTTAAAGGCGTCATTCAGTATTTGAATGAACATTATCCAAATCGCTGGATCGGTCGAAATGCTCCTCATCCTCGAAAATGGCCAGCAAGATCTCCTGACTCAATCCGATGGATTTCGGGTATTTGGGAGAACTTAAAGGAATGGTTTATAGGGCTGGTCCAGTAACAACTGAAGCACAACTTCGCGAAAAAATGTTACTGCGGCTGAAATAATAAATGGACAACTTCGAGTACCTAGAGTAAAAAGAAACTGGGTTCATCGTAATGAAGCTTGGGTGGAAAGTGGAGGACGACTTTTTGAACACCTTCTCTAAATACAAAAAAGTGCAGTGTAGGTTTTAAAAAGAAAAACAATGTTTGTATCAAAATTGTGTTCCCTATTTATAAGTGGATTTTTTACTCCGTTCAATAAACTTTCACACTCCAGGTGAAGCGCTGAGACAGTTAGTTTAAGTCCGTTTATTTTAATAGGTTGACTCTGCACTTCGCACGCTCGCCTTTATCAGTACATAAAGGATGTTCAGCACAAACTAAACCCTCTGAGAAAAAATCTGTCAAACAGGTCCATATAACTAGTCCATAGACAGTCTTGCCTATCGGTAATTCATCTGGGAATGTCGCATCTCCTCGATACCTAACTGGGGCAGACGTGACACTGTGCTCGCCCGGTCACAGCATAGAAAACACTATGCTGTTGCAGAAAAACGTGTGATTCCATACCGAATACTCATCACGACAGGCGCACGACGCTTGCAGCATCAGCAGCAGCAGCCTCGGCCGATGCGCATGCGTCCCGTTTCCCGAGAATATTTCAGGGTTAATGTACAGAGAAATCTATGATGTATGAAATATATCCAATGCAAGGTCTGTAAATTAAGTGATGAGACTGACAACATAGCGTTCGATCTGGCAACAATAGAAGCGTCGCGCTTGGAGGGGAGGCGGGGGACTATGTGATCCGCCTTCAGTCATTTGGTTGTCCACGCAGCGGAGCGGAAGGCCTTCATCTTCAAGAACTGATGAAAATATCGCCAGAATCCGGGATCTTGTGCGTTCAGATCGTCGGTTGGCAGTCAGAATGATCGGGGAAGAGTTGAATTTGACTCTCCCCACCTGACTTGAGTCCCTGTGACTTTTTCTCTTCTCGAAGTTGAAGAATCGCCTCAAGGAAACTCGTTTTGGGATAGTCGGATACATCTAAACGGCTGTAACCGACCAGCTGAAGGCTATTGCAATATCGGACATCCAGCACTGCTATTAGGAGTGGAAGAACCGTCTCCAGCGCTGTGTGGCTTCGGAAAGAAGTTTTTTTGAGGGTGACAATATAAAATTGTGATTATGTTCGAATAATCCCAGTAAGCGTGGGAAGTAATAAAAACCATTTTGGGAAAAATTGGTTTGATTCGTTTATACAGGATGTAAACGTTATGATAGTCATTTTTTAAATGGGTGATAGAGTGGGTTAAAAGAAGCAAAAAGTTTCATATAATATGAGTGTCAAAACGGCATTTTCTTAGAGAAAAGCGACTTTAAGGTAAAATAAAATCTGACAACGCCGCAATTCCAGACGCAAATTACAACGGAGCTCAGTGTAAATAAAGATGGAGTTTGTTATTTTTGGCTCTTAGGTATTATTTCATTATTTGATAATGTACTCGTAAAATGCAAACAATTAAAAAAAACAGACTTACCACTAACTGTCTCAACGCTTCACCTGATATGTGAAAGTTTATTGAACGTATTAAAAAAATCAACTTATAAATAGGGAACACAATTTTGATAGGGTGACTTTGAAGTTGAGTCATTAATTTTCAGATAATGATTGTAGAAGGAAGATAAACCAAAATATGTGTGTAAAAATAAAAAAACATTAAAAAAAATGTTACCCTTGTTTTATAAAGTATCCTCCCGACAAGTATTTCAGTGCGGACCTGTATTGATCGTGCGGTCTTGGAGCACCCGCAGGCCCTCCCCTGTAAGGTCTTAAGTCTCCTGATTCACGAGCCCTTTGTACTATATTAACAAAGGCACGAGGGGTTGGTTGCACTCGATTGGGAAACCGATTCGCATAAATCCGTGATGCCGCGGCAGCATTTTGTAAAGAAGAATCATGTCCACAAGTTCAGCATTTTCGTAAACATGTGCCATTTTTTATTTCATTTGAGCCACGCAGCAAACACCACTATTCACTCACGCGTTACCGACTGACGAAAAACATCGTGATAAACGTTTCAAATTCTTTCGCTTTTTTGTTTCCGATGCGATGAACCGATAAGGCGGATTATATCCGTTGTTGCCAAACACGAGCACATAATATTATTATTGAGACCGGGCGGTACTCAAACTTCTAAAGGGCTATAACTTTGTTACTTTAATTTTACCAGAAAAATGTTAAAGGAAAAAACATTTCTTTTGATCAGATCTACTCACTGTTAAAATAAATGACTCAACTTCGAAGTCACCCTGTATACATTGTTTTTCTTTCTAAAACCCACACTGCACTTTTTTGTATTTAAAAAGGTGTTCAAAATGTTGTCCCCCCCCTTTCCACACAAGCTTCATTACGATGAACCCAGTTTCTTGTTACTCTAGGTCCTCCAAGTTGTCCATTTATTATTTCAGCATTAAAATTTTTTTCGCGAAGTTGTGCTTCAGTTGTTATTGGACCAGCCCCATAAACCATCCCTCCAAGTTCTCTCCAATACCAGAAATCCATCGGATTGAGGTCAGGAGATCTTGCTGGCCATTTTAAAGGATCAGGGGCATTTTGACCGATCCAGCGATTTGGATAATGTTCATTCAAATACTGAAT